GTCACGTTCAGGTTGTCCAGACTGCGCTGCGAGGTGGGCGACAGGGCATCCTCGGAGCTGATGTAGCTATCCTGAAAGTTTTCGATTTCGTGCAGCAGACGCGCCGGCGTCTGTTGCTGTGCATCCAAATGCTGGCGCAGCTGCTCCAGCCAAACGTACAGCGTCTCGAAGCACGGACGCATATCCGGATTCAGGTCGCAACAGACGAAGGCCACCTTAACGAACGCCTCCGGGCACTGGGCGCAAAACTTTTCGCGAAACTCCTGCTGATTGAGACTGAAGTCCGAGTTGCGTGGCATATAGTCCGGATCGGCCTCTACGCGGCCAATGATCTGTGGCAAAAGCAGAAGAGATACGAATGAGCGAGCACATAGGATGAATCCAAGAATTATAGATTAATAAGAAAGTTGGCACAGTTACAAGGAATCCGGGCAACCCACCTCGCATAGCATTATGCCAAAGGAGAAGACATCCACTTTCTCGTCGTACTTGAGGCCCTTCATCATCTCGGGCGCCATCCAATAGGGATTGCCCACCACCGTATAGCGCTGGCGTCGCTGTCGACTCTTGCTGCGCCTCAGCGTGCCGCTGGGCGACATGGCGTTCGCGTCCATGCCAGACGCTGAGCTGCCACTGGCGCTGGACGTGGGCATGCCGCCCGGTAAACGGGGCGCATCGACGCTGCGTGCCAGACCAAAGTCGGCAACGATCACCGAATGATCCTCGCGCACCAGACAATTCATCGAGTTGAGATCACGATGGATGATGTTCATGGAATGCAGATAGCTCATGCCGCAGGCAATGTCCCTGGCCAGGCAGACGCGCTGCGCCCAGCTCAGCGTTTGTGTTGGGTCATGAATCAACTCCTTGAGACAGCCGCCGGCCACATATTCGGTGACCATATGCAGCTTCTTGTCCTTGTAGAGCACGCCAATGAACTTGAGCACGTGTCGATGGTCGAGCAGACGCAGCACGGCGACCTCTTTGATGAAATTACGCTGCGCCTCCTCATCGGCGCGATGCAGCTCCTTGAGCACCATCAGCTCGCCGGTCAGACGATGCGTCACCTTGTACACCTTGCCAAAGAAGCCCTCGCCCAGTTTCTCGCCCATGACCAGATCGGAGGCGCGAAATATGCGTTGCGGTTTCTGGACAACGCGACAGCTTTGGGTGCGCGACAAATCGTAGAGCTGCGGATGCGCCGAATGCTGTTGCGCCGTGTGCTGTTCATCCAATAGCTTGGACAGGCTCGAGCAGCGCTCCTTCTCCTTCAGCTGGGATGACAGTGCCGGTTGCTGCTGCTGCTGCTGGTGCTGCTGTTCGACGGGCTGCTGCGGCTGATGCACGCTTGACTTGGACGCTTGCAGGGATTGCACCGTTTGCTGACGCATCTTGCGCATCTTGCCGCTGGGCTCGGTGGCGGCTGCCTTATAGAGACGCTCGCGACCGCGTCCGCCGACCTCGACGCTGGAGGCGGATGTGCTCAGCGGCAGCACCAAGGTCGTTGCGGAGCTGGCACGCTGAATGTCCGCCTGGCTGCAGCTGCGGCACACCTGCACCGGATCATGCTCAACGGTCAGCTGGAGCATCTTCTCGTTGCTGCGTATCAGCTTGTCGATCTGGTCCACGGACGAATTGCTGACAGGTGTGCCATTGACCTCCAGTATGCGATCGCCAATGTGCAGATTCGTCAAATTCACATCGATCCTGCAACACGAAGACAATGCTCCATTAGTTGATATTGAACGTTTAAGGATAGCGTGTGAGTAGCAGAACGGATTAGTTAAGTGGTTTTTTTTTTTTTTTTTCTTTCGTTTACCTATATGAAGCACAACAACGATCCGCCACCGAGGTAAGCAGGGAGAAGGCGTATTTGCCCATGCGACCATAAAATTTACAAATTAAGCTTGAAAAGCGTCACAAATAGAAAGAGAACAGGAGAGAGCGAGGGAGAGAGAGAAGGAAGAGAGAGAGAGAGAGAGAGAGAGAGAGAGGAAAGTATGAAACCAGCACCAGGCATTAAAATTATTATTTCTTAATTTTTAAATAATTTATAATCATTGAAATAAAAGCATTTAATTCAAATGCCAACAGCTGCACTTGTATTTGTGTGTATGTGTGTGTGCGTGTGCGCAACTGTTATACACTTGATTTAAATGCAACTGTTATACACTTGATTTAAATGCAACTGTTATACACTTGATTTAAATGCAACTGTTATACACTTGATTTAAATGCAACTGTTATACACTTGATTTAAATGCAACTGTTATACACTTGATTTAAATGCTTCTATTTTCTAAAAAAAAAAAAAAACTCTTATCAAAGAGCATAAAAATTATTTTTAACTGCTTTTTAAAAAAAACTCGTGTTGAGCTTCTGATTAAAAAAGAATTTGATTTTTCATTGAATTTCTGATTTTAGTATTTTTTTTTAATTTTAAAGTATATGTTGAGTATTTTTAAATACTAAATATTAAACAGTTTTTAAAGCAAGTAAAAAGCAAGAACCTCTCCAATAAGTTTTGAAGAGGTATTTAAAAAATACTAAACAAATACTATTTAAAAATTTAAAAACCGTAATTTAAGTGTTTTTTCTTCTTTTTAGTTTGAACGTGTTAAATATGCTTGCTTTTCTTTATGGTATTTTCAAATGTTTCAAAGCGGTATTTAAATAATACCTTCAAATGTATTTTTGATCAAAATGTGTCTTCAGTCTTTTTGGCATAGTTTAAGGTAGTCCTTTTTTTCAAGAGTTTAATATTGTAATATATTAAGTATTTTTAAAAATAAATTTTAGTACTTAAAGCTTGTGGCTACTTTTAAATGTTTGTTTTGCAGTATTTTAATATTTGTTTTGTTTTTTTTTTTTTTAGTATTTTAAGCTAGTCCTTAATTTGTAGGTTAGTTTTTTGTATTTTGCAGTATTTTTTTTTTTGTGAATTTCAAATTAAAAATTGTGCGCAATAAGATTGGCCGTGGAGAACTTACTCGGTTATCCGCACCGTGGGACAACCATCATCGAGGGCGCCGCCATCCACACGGAGGCCGGGCGTCGCATCCTTGGGTATCTCGACGAGTCGTATGGAATGCATGGGCTTGCCGGCATTTGTGATGCGTGCCCGGGCATCCACGGGCAGGCGTTTGCCATAGCAATGGCCGCAATAGAGCTTGGAACGTTCGACCAGGGCATAGGATTCGCCCTCGCCAATAAATGAACCGCAGGCGGCACAACAAAAGCATTCCGGATGAAATTTATGCTCGCCGGCAACCATCACCGGACCCGTTATAACCGCCGTACACTGCTGGCAGGCATCACCGAAACGCGCATAATAATCCTCGCGGCAATACAGCAAATTCTCGCGCTCAAAATACCAGCTATGCAAATGGGAATCGCATACCGAACAGCGAAAGCAATCGCAATGCCATTGCTGGCCGAGTGCCATAACGATCGGTTCATCGTTGTGATTGTGGGCGAGCAGGGGGCAGAGGCAACTGGCGCAGGTTGGCAGCACGGCAGCTGTGCGCTGTTGTTGTTGTAGTTGTTCTTTTTGTTGATGCATGGAAATGTATGTGTGTGGCTGTGTGTCGGTGTGTGCGTGTGTTTATGCGTCGCTTGCTGGTAGAAGAGAAGAAAGAGAGAGAGAGAGAGAGAGAGAGAGAGCATAATGTTGATGAGAGCAGGCTCAAGAGAGTCAGTCGCCGTGTGCGCTCGCGTGTGTGTGTGTGTGTGTGTGCAACGATCTGGCAAGCCTTTGTTTACTGAACCGGTTTTGCGAATGAACTACTCGATTGCATGTTCATAGCCAAAAGCAAACACAGGCATGTGTAATCCAAGTCGAACTACTTATTAACTGCATGTGGCCATATAACTAATCTAAGCATGATGTCATAGCCGGCATATTGCAAAAAATAACAAAAAATAACAAAAAAAAAACAAACAAAATTATGTTTTTAGGGAAAACATATGTGCAACAACAATAGTTATTGCGGAACTGGCCATGAAACTGGTTCAGTTGAACGGCAGCGCTCAACTCTATGGGAATTCGGGATACGCTTGACGGATAAGGCGCGCGGGGTGGGGAAGAGTGGGGTGTGGGATCTATTGTTATTGGCAGCATTGACCCTGAGAAATGGTGTGACTTATTCTTGCACAACAACAACAATTGACTGCATGTGTTTTTTTTTTTTTTTTTTTTTAGCAATAGTAACAGTGCTTAATATAACTAATGAAGCAAGCAGCTGACGCAGCTGTATTGTTATGCACAGATAAAAAAAATATAAATAACATACACAAAATGACGAATGCACGAACACGAACACAAACACACACACGCGCGCGCGCACACACACACAGACGCGCGCGCGCGCGCTCGCACACAATGATGTATACAAAAAGCGCAAAACACAGTTGAATGTTGATCGAAATGTGTGTGGGGGAACGGGAACAACAGCGACATCAGCATTAGCAAATGGCAAGCTTGTGCTATTGTTGTTTAAGCTATTGTTGTTGTTGCATTCTTACTAATAGTTGTTACTGCCAAAACTATACACAAGGTACACACACAGACACACACACACACGCACGCAACACAAACAACACACACGCACACTTACATAATTTTATCTTATATTTTGATGCTGCTGTTTAACGCACATCGCAAATTTTCTTGGATTCGTTCTCACAACATTTTCCACAAGCGTTCGCACGTTTGGGCACTTGTATTACTCCACACAGTTCGAAAATAAAAAACAAATGCATTTGTTTAAAAAAAAAAAAACCAAAATGAGACTAGCGTTAGTCGCACAGTGTGACCGTGAGCGTCGTATGCGCAAAATCCACAATCGCGTTAAATACCAGCAAACGCAGCAATGCGATAAATACCGCAAATACCACACTTTTTGTATTGTTTCAATTACAAAATGAAATTAACGTGTTTTTGTTATTGTTTTTTTTTTTTTGTTTCTTTCAATCAGTTGGCAAATTAAAATACGCCTTCATTGTTGTTGTATATAAAAAACAATGTGTTTGTTTTGCGTTTATTTGAACATGAACACCACAGCTGTGCCATTTACCTAAATTATATGTCAAATCAGTTTTAACAAATTCTCCTTGAGGCGAGCCAACAATTAAATAAATAAAATGTATGTACAGGGAATCATATATGCGCTATATGTTAATATGTTCATTTATCTCGTATTATTGTACTGTATTCTGTGGCAGGCTATCCTCCTCCACGACGACCTGGCCTTGGTCCTGGATCTCGCGTCGCTCCTGCTGACGCACTAGCTCAAAGTACAGTCCACGTCGCGCCATCAGCTCATCATGCTTGCCCGTCTACAGGATGAAAGGAACACAGCTTAGTAACAGGCATATGCATATACAATGGGATTCACTGCTTGACTAACCTCGACCACGCGTCCCTGATCCATGACCACAATCAGATCCGCATTGCGTATCGTGGACAGCCTGTGCGCGATGACCAATGTGGTGCGATTCTGTACGGCAGTGTCGAGTGCCTTTTGCACCTCCGCCTCGCTGGTGGCATCCAGCGCACTGGTCGCCTCGTCCAGTATGAGGATGCGCGGATTCTTGACCAGCGCCCGGGCAATGGCAATGCGCTGTCGCTGACCGCCGCTCAGCTGGGTGCCGCGCTCGCCCACATGCGTATTATAGCCATCTGGCAGGGCGGTGACAAAGTCATGGGATTGGGCCAGCTTGGAGGCAACATAGACATCCGTTTGGCTGGCATCCGGTTTGCCATAGCGCACATTCTCCAGGATGCTGGTGCCAAAGAGTATGGGCTGCTGCTCGATGAAGCCCAAAACATTGGCGCGCAGCCAAAACGGCGAAATGTCCGACAGCTTATAGCCATCCAGCTTGATGTTGCCGGAGGTGGGCTCATAGAAGCGTTCGAGTAGTGCGGCTATTGTCGATTTGCCCGAACCGCTGGCGCCGACCAGCGCCACAGTCTGGCCAGGACGCAGCGTCAGACTGAAGTCCTTCAGCACGATCTGCAAGAGAAGCTAGAGAGGCTGGCTAGGCTATTGAGGCACACACTCACATGATCTGGTCGCATCGGATACGCAAAGGAGACATTCTCGAAGCGGATCTCGCCATGCAGACGCTCCGGCGGTATGATATAGCCACGCGATAGCTCCACCTTTGGCTGCAGCGAGAGAAACTCAAAGACCCGGCTGCCGGCGGTCATGCCGCGTATCATGGTGCCCAGCAGCACGGATCCCTGCGACAGGGAGCGCTGCACGCCCTGCGAGGCGACCAGGAATGCCATTAGGGCGCCGGGCGTTAGGCTTTCCGTGGACATTAGATGGCCGCCCATGAAGAGCGTGGAAAGCACAAGGGTGTTCAGAAAAAAATTGGTCAGACCCTGGAAGACAGCGATGCCATAGCCCAGCTCCTGGGCCAGGCGTGCCGCCTCGTTTGTTTCCTGCTCGAACAGCTGCATCTCCCGATACTCGCAGGCGCTGGAGCGCACGGTGCGTATATTGGACAAGGCCTCCTCGCAGACGCCAGTCGCGCGCTCCGTCTACATAAATAGTATACGATTAGATCTTGGTTAAGGATTAGGCCATTTTCAAGCACCTGAGCCTGTGAGTTTTTGCTGAGCGCGCGCAGCTTGCGTCCCAGATACGACATGAACATGACCACGCACGGCACACTGGCCAGCGCAATGGCGGCCATATGGGGCGAGATCATGAACAGGGAGACGCTGCCGCCGATTAGCTGGGCGGAGCTGCGCAGGCCGTGGGCGACAAATTGCTTGAACGAGGTCTTAAAATCCTGCACATCGGCGGTCAGGCGGTTCACAAGCTCGCCTGTGCGATTCTCGTCGAAAAACGAGATGTCCTGCAGTACGATTTGCTTGAACAGATCCTGACGCATCCTGGCGGCCATCTGCTCGCCCACGCGACTCAACAAATAGATATACACAAAGGTGAAGCCCGACTGCAGCAGATACAAGCTAAGCAAATTGCTGGCCGGCTTGCTCACATCCTTGACAAAGGAGTTGTTGATCGGATCCATTACGTACGTGTTCGCATAGCGCGCCAGCGTATTCACCAGATCCCCCAGCAGATTGGGTATGCGTATATTGATGAAGGCCACAATCAGCGCCGCCTGCAAAGTGCCAAGTGCGGATGCAGTGCATCGAAAACATGATGCCAACTGAACTTACCAGAACGGCGCCTATCAGCTCCCAGGTGTGCGGCTCCAGATATGTCCAGAGACGCCGCCAATCAAAGTTCTGATCCTCCTGCTCCAGTGTGTGCTGTATGACGCCCGCCAGCCGATTGCCCTCACATTGGGCGACCAGCGAACCCGATGTCCAACAGCTGCGCATGGCCATGCCCACGCCCAGAGTAGCGCCGCCCCACAGCAGTGCCCGGCACGTCTGCAGCTTGGCCCGACAGCTGCCGCTGGGCGCTCCATGTGAACGCCACATGTGCTGATGATGCTGGCGCATCAGGCGACTCGCGTTCTGCAGGCGCGCACCAAGCTGCGACTGCGGCAGCGGCAGCGGCTGCAACAGGCTGCGGCTAGAAGAGTCAGAGAAGCGATGACATAATCAGAGACCAGCAAAGGGGGGGGGCAACCTTTTTTATCATTATTCAGCTGAGGGTTCCCCTCGCCACACCCGCTGCCCGCCCACTCTACGCACAAGCCATGCGTGTGTTATGTAGGATCACGAGCAGGGGGGGGGGGGTGCTGCTGCTGCTGCTGCAGCAGCATTACCTGAGCATATCGCCGCGACTGCAATTGGCTAGGAGTAGGCGCAGCATCTGTAGCTTCTGTTCGTTGCACTTAACTTAAAAAATTAACTAAATACGCCAGCTCTTAAGCATTTAACTAACTTGTTGGTTAACCTTAACAATAATAATAACATACACACACACACACACACGCACACGCACGCACGCACGCACACACTAATGCAAGCCAACACCAGCAACAGCAGAGGCACACACACACACAGAGACTCACAGCTACACGCACATGCATGCACACAGTTCAGGTAAGTGCCTGACAAATGCTGATTGCCATGCTTAAAAAACGCATTTGGCATTTTTTGGCAGCTTAAGCGCTTCAGAGTATTTAATTTGGTATTTTTAAACATACTTTATTTAGCTTAGCTTGGATAATGTAAAATTAATTAATAATTAATTAATCTATTTAAATGTATAATTAAAACTATTAACTATTATTTTTTCTCCCAACTTTTGATATGTCTTTGGGTATTAAATACCAAAAGACATTTTTTTCGCGCTTAGCATGTTTTAATATCATTTTTGTTGTGGATACTCGATTTTTTTTTAATTCAGTATAAAATGCCATACAGCATACTTTATCTTAAAAATACTGAGTTTTTTTTTTGTAAGACCGTATTTAAAAACCTCTGGAAATAGCCACAAAATATGGCCTAATGGAAATTGAAATATTGCGCACGCTTTTTTAAATGCTTTTATTACAATTTTAGTATATTACTAAAGATTATAAGCTTATGGCTAAGGCAACGCTTTATCTTTAAAATAAGCATATAAAATTCACGTTCAATTTAAGTTTTACAAACAATTTCGTATTTATTGATAAACAGCTTTTTAGTTTTAATTAATCAATCGGTGTCCATATCCGAATCGCCATCATCATCATCATCATCGTCGTCGTCGTCGTCGTCGTCGGAGCACTCCTCGTCGGAGCTGCTGCTCTCGGTGTCATCAATCCAATCGTGCGCCTTCTGATTGCTAGCTATGAGAACCTTCCACTGATCCAGCTTATGTAAGTCCAGCGCATAGAAATCGTTGAGCGTGTGCTGTTTCTCATCCTCCTCGTAGAGGCCACCGAATAGATACAAGATGCCCTTGCAAACGCACAGGCCGGGATTCATGCGCGGTGAGGGTACATCTGTGCGTCTGTGCCGGGCAGCCGGAAACAGACTGGGTATATTGGATACATAGGAGGAGGAGGAGGATGCTTGAGTGGAGCCGGGTCCGCCAACGGTCACCGTAAAAATGCCATCTGTGCTGGTGGTCACAGTCTTTTCAGCGCATGCCGCATCTCCGGCCATTTCGATATCGTTGGACTTTTCGTTGTCCCTCTTGCTGCCGGGCTTGCTCTTGGCCGCCAGCTCAAGCAGACGCCAGGACTGTGCGGTCAGATCAAAGGCCAGCAGCTCGTCGCCGAACTGGCCCTGAACATTCTCGTCATCCTCGTTGACGTCCATCACGCCGCCAAAGCAATACGCCTTGCCATTTGGCGCCACAGTGCAGCCGACGCTGTTGCGCGGCTTCGGACGATAACCGCCAGCTTTGACGGTGCTCCATTTGTATTTGTTGCCGGAGCCGTTCTCTGGAATTAATAGATTGGATAGCATTAATAACGGCATGGATTAGAGAGTGGTTGCTTACTGTCCACATCGAGCGCAAACATGTCCGTGTGCGTGATGCCCCGATCCAGATCCTTCTTCATCGAGGTTCTCGCGTAGCCGCCCCAAACGTAGATTTTGCCATCCGGTGCGGCGGCAATGCAACAGCCGGAACGCACAGCCGGCGCAATTGTGCCGGAAATTTCGATTTTCAGCCATTCGTACGACTCCAGGGAGAAGACATGCACATCGTTATAGTAGTGATAGGATTGATTATTGTCATGAAAGCCGCCAAAGATGAACAGACGCTTCTTGGCGGCGACCATGCGATGCCCGCTACGCGCACTGGGTCCATTCGGTGCCGCGATCTTGGACCACTGACGCGTCCGGAGGCTCATCGACCAGAGATCCTTGTAGTGATAAAACTGCAGTTGCGAGGGACTGGCGTGCTCGCCGCCAAACAGCTGCAATGTGAATCAATCAAACAATATCCATATGTCTCTAAAGGGATCATCCGTGCTGATATTTACCCACAATTGGCCGCCATCGCTGGCAACGGCGACCATTTGATGGCCGCTGCGCGGCGTTGGGCCCGAGGGCGAGCGCAGCTGCTTCCACTCGTTCCGGGTTATATTATAGAAGAACATATCGTTATACACGGTGACTTTGGCGCCGTTGTATAGCTCGCCGCCAAACATGATTAGCTCCTCCTTTTCGGGATGTGTTACCAGCGAGAAATTGGAGCGTGGTGTTGGTGCTGCGCATACTTCCTCGGTTATGGCCTTTATGGCCTGCTCCTGATTCTCCAGTTTCTTTACAATTTCCGCTATATCCGCCTGGAAATGGGAAGAACATTGTGTGAGAACTTTGCCGATACGATTAGAATGTGGCTTACCTCGCCAAGTTTTTCCAGCATTTTCTTTTGTTTGGCTGCCAGCTTTTTGTCGGTTTTCATTGCTGTCTTCTCGGCGCCTTTGCCTTTTTTCTTATTCTTGTCCTTTTTACCCATTATTGTTAAATATAAAATATAAATAACACTTGACTATTCAAAGATGGAAAGCACGTTTTAGTGACCATATGCGCTAAACAGAAAATAACCCAGTTCGTACTCAGGACGAATCACAATTATTTTTTTAGTATTTTTCATATTTTATTTGGTATTTTTGCATTTGGCACTGCTGGTTACACTCTTTCGTATATTGTGCATCGCCAACAGAGCTGTTAAAAACTGTGTGACCAATTTGCTTAGGGCTTAGCAGCTGTTGTTTAACATTATGTTTAACTGCTAGTTAAAAGAGTCAGTGTTGCGCTAACAGACTGGCAACGCTTGCGAAAAGTCGAGTTGGCATTTGTACTCGAAAAATTCCATTTAATCAAAGAAATAACCCAAACGCATTAAAATTATTAAATAAGTAAATGGTAACACATTTCAAGTTCGCGTAATTAAAAAACAGTTTCGTGTAAGTGTTTGTACCCATAAAAGTATTAGAAATTGGGCAACAGCAAAAAAACAGAAAGGCACAGAGCTGACACCTTGTGTTTGTGTTGATGTGCGTGAGAAGGGGGCCCGTGTATTTGTGTGTGTGTGTGTGTATGTATGTGTATTTTTCAGTTGGCTCACGAACGGATTTTGCTTTTGTTATTTTTACAAAATTGATGGACAGGCGCCTATCGGCTAATCAGCTGCTTTATGCCTAATTATGCGCAATTATCTGCAAGTGCCAGCAACCCCCTGCTCCAACACCCGGGGCACTTGCTGCAATTACAGTTCAGCGGTAACAACCCTGTGTGTGTGCGTATTATTTGTTTTTGCAGTTCGCCTGAAACTTTACTTGCTCTCTGGCAACGTTGCTCTCCATACCGTTCATTCGCTCGCTCTCTCTCTCTCTCTCCCACTGCCTGTCGTGCATACAACCACTGCTCCAATTTGGCTGTTTTCACTTTTGACTGAACGTCTGACGTAGGGAAAGAAAATTAATTAGAAAAACTCTCGCTAAATAAGTAATTAATACATATAGTTATTAAAATTATAAAAATGCAAGTGTAAAGTACACTCGCTGCATACGAAATGCAAAACGCCGCAGACGAACAACTACAAAAAACCTGCTGTGTCAAGCAGCACAATAACAACAACAGCAACAACAACAAATACCAGAGCGAAACGGTGGTAACAAAAACGACGAAAAAGATTGAGTGTGTCGTGTGTGTGAGTGATGGGCAGTAAGCGGGTAAAGGGGCGGGCACAGCAAACGTCCACGTAAACTTTTAGCTCAGCGTGGTTATTGTTGCTGCCGCTGCTGCTGGCATTGTCATTGTCGGATTAGACAAAAGTGTACACAATAATAAAGGAAAGAAGAAAGAAAGAAAATAAAGAAAATTAGAAAAACGAAGCGAGGCATAAGCAATTGGCAAGTACATATAAGTTGACTTGATTCCTTTTTCTATCTTTATTATTTTGTTTGTCAAAAGCCAAACCAATTTGCAATCAGTCGTCCGTAGACCCAAAAAGCCGAAAAAAAAAGCATGTCATGGTTGAAGCAACGCGCCCAGAGCCTGCAGCTGGCTGCGAAAACCAATTCAGATTTACAAATAGTTATCAATCAGAATGAAAACAACGTTGACAAGGCTCAGGTATCGTTGCATTTAGTGCATTTTATTTATTTTATTTTTTTTTTTTGAGTCCAAGGCGAATTGAGCACAGCTGTCACCTAAAAGCTTTGTGGCAACTCTGCCAAAGCCCACAAACATACGGGAAAATAACTGTTAATACTCGAATGAGCGCCTGCCGCCAGGCTCCAAAACAAGTCTGTACGTTGCCAGACAGCTCGAAACTGCTTGAGCCACAAATGGCAGCGCATTTAAGTGATATGGCAATTGGTTTTCTTAAGTGCCAAAAAATTTAACTGTTCTTTTTTCTGTTTGGCTTTTTTTATTTTTTATTTTACAGTCTGCCAAGCTAACGCACTGCGACATGTTGCACAATAATGCCAACTGGCTGCCACCGCCGCAGCAGCAACAGCAACTGCAGCAGCAACAGCAACTGCAACAGCAGCAGCAGCAGCAGGCACCTTCGCTACATCACGCTCAAGTTCCGGCCGCAGTGCAACCGTCGCAACCGCAGCTATATGCCAGCCAAATGTTTCAGCAGCCTCAGGCGCAGCCGGCTCAACAAGCATATTGGCCAATGGAACAGCCGGGCCTCAGCTATCACGACTTTGCCGGCGCAGCTCAGCCGCCGGGCTATGCGCCTCCCGCGTCGCTGTCCTATGCGCCGGCTATGTCTGCGCAGCAATTTTATCAGCCAGCGCCAGGGCAAGTGGAGCCACAGGCACAGCTGCCGGCTGTCGAGTTGGTGGACAACAATAACAGTGGCAAAAACGATGGCTGGGGTGATTGGGGCGATTGGAATGATGGCGGCAACAACAACAACAGCAGCAACAACAACAACAACAATAACAACGGCAGCAGCATCATGAACCACAGCGAGGCGCCGCCGCTAGCCAGCGTTGTCGAGGATTCCTTCAACGTACAGGGCCAAAGCAGCTGGCACGCGTTTAGCAACAACAGCAGCACAAACATCGTCAGCAGCAGCAGCAACAACAACAACAACAATAATAATAATCCTGAGGCCGGCGAATCGCTGGAACTGCCGCCCTTGATGTCGCCCGCCACGGAGCAATTGTCGCCAGTGTCCGAGCCGGAACTGAATGCCATTGTGCCGCCGCAGGCTTTTCAAAATCAGCCACCACCAGCAGCAGCTGCAGCTACTCCTCCAGCGGCAGTTACACTACCACCACCAGCAGCAGCAGCAGCAGCAGCAGCAGCAGCTCCTCCACCACCAGCAGCAGCAGGACTTCCACCACCACCAGCAGCTGCTCCGGCAGCGGCTCCCGTTCTGTTGCCGCCCACAATGGAGACTGCAGCTGGGAATCCCTTCAAGCGCGCTGGAGGACTCAGCAAGCGCGTTAATATTTTGGCTACGCCAGGCACAGGAGTAGCAGCAGCACCACCACCACCGGCGCCTAGTGTGCCGGCCGTAGCGCCTGTCCAGATGTTGCTGCCGGAACCCAATCCGGAACAGCAGCCGTATGAGAATCAGGAGGTATTGCTGTCGGCGCCAAATGATGAGCGTGCACAGTATCTGCAGACAAGTCACCTGTCCGAGCAGCCCGAGGAGCTTAACGAGTCCAACTGGGAGACAGATGGACTGTTCCCGCCGCCGGGACTGTCACGTCTGGTGCTCGGCCAGCCGGAGCTGGTAGAGCAACAACGTCTGGTCACCGGCACCGAACAGCCGCCCAGTCGTGTGGCCAATGCGCTGCACATGGCGGAGCGTCAGGCCGATGGTGAGGACACCTCCGAGGGTGAGCAGCCGACCCGCAACGATCTCTACCAGCAGCAACAGCTGCAGCTGCAGCACCAGCAGCAGCAGCAGCAACAACAACAGCAGCAGCAACAACAACAACAACAGCTGCAGCAGCAGACGCCACCGCGTCGCGTAGTGACTGGCGTGGAGACCCAAGCGACTGTGGTGCTATCTGGTGAACAGCGCGAGGTGGTCTTGGATGGCGAGAATCTGGAGGATCAGCGGCCAACGATGCCGCCGGCGCCGCTGTCGTTGCCAGCAGCAACGGCGACGGCAGCACACGCAGCCAGCGTGGCAGCAGGAGCAGCTGCTGCCGTCGAACTGGACAGCGAGTCACATCAGCAACAACAACAACATCACATAAGCAATGACGAGAACGAGACAAACTCCTCCTCGCTGCCAGCACAACAGCAGCTCCAGCTGCAGCAGCAGCAGCAGCAGCAAACGCCGCTGGAGAAGAAACAGGCGCGCGGCAAACCGCGTCCTGTTGCCTCGCTGGATCTGGAGTCGGAGGATGAGTCCGAGGACGAGTGGCTGCTGAGCGACCGGCATGAGCCGCCGCGCCGCCAGCCGGACGAGCGCAGCATGCGCAGTCTGCGCGGCAGCCGGCGCCACAACAACAGCAACAACAACTATGAGGGCGAAACGGAGGACTCGGTGCGCGGCGGCGTTGCTGCCGGTGGCGTTGGCAGCGCTGCACACGCTGGCCACAACGACAGCCACAGCAGCAGCAAATCGACGCGCGACGTGAAGCGACGCAGTCGCGATGCGGACAACCAGCGACGACATGAACCGGAGCGCACGGGACGCGAGCGAAGCGACAGGGAGCGTGAACGCGAACGGGAACGTGAGCGTGAACGTGAAAGGGAACGTGAGCGAGATCGGGAACGCAATCGCTGGCGACGCGACGACCACCAATACGGACGTTCCACGCGCTACAGCAACAACAACAACAACAGCAACAGCAACTATGATGGCGAGTCGGATGCAGCCGAGCTGGCAGCCGGTCAAGCGGCAGCCAGCGATGGCGGCGGAGGCGGACGCAACAGCAAGGCCGGCCGCCAGAGACGCAGCGGTGCCGCTGACGATGATTACGAGGATTATGAACAGCAATCGGCGCCACGTGGCGGCAGCCATTATCATCGGCCACGTCGCGACAAGCAGCACGCACAGTCGTCGCATCAGCAATCGCACGAAAAGCCGCGCAGCAGCCGGCGCAGTCACGAGGGCAGCGAACGGACGCGTTCCCATCATCCGGACTGGCAGCAGCACTGGGATGCCCGACAATACGAGGGCTATCGCAACAAGAGCTCGCGCAACAGCGATCTGGACAAAGAGCTGCTCAACGGAGGCGGCGCCGGCGTCGCCGGTGGCAGCAGCAGCGGCAAGCGTCGCAACTACGATCAATATGCGAATGCTGCGGCCAGCTACGATCCGTACGGCATGTACGAGCAGATGTCGCGCAATCCGCACGCCTACGCGGACATGTACGCCAAACTGTACGGCCAGATGATAAACTCAATGACGGCGGCCGTTAACGCTGCGGCCGCATCGAAGGCGGTGCCACAATTGCAGGCGCAGGCCCATCAATTGGGCGCACCTGTTGCCGGCGTGGATGAGGCTGCTCTGCTCAGGGAACGCGAAAGGTAAGCCAAAAAATTAAAAAAAAAAAAAACAAAAACAACTGCAACTCCCAAACGCTAACTTTGCAGATTGTGTAGCATTTCTTGAGTTGGTTTATTAAATTAGCAGCTATCAATTAATTTATGGGCACATATCACGTTTCCAGTCACAAAGTCTCTATTAATCTCTTACAAAAAAAACAAAAAAAAAGAATCCCCAATGGAACGAATGGAAATGGAACATATGTAAACTATATATAATATGATTAAACTTGCACCAATTAATATTCGATTAACATATGAAATGAAGTCACAGACTAAAAAGAAGCACTAGGCACATTCGAAGAGTGTGTTTCGTTACATATCGTTCCATTTTGCACCCCTAGTCAAAGAAAATGTTCCAATTCAGCGATCTTTTATTTAAATATACGCGCAGAAAGGCACTTTTACGGTTACTGAATGAAAAAAAGCTTTGGAATTGACATTGCAAATCGTATTTCTCAGGGTTACCTGCTCGGAACTTCATTTCTTCTGCATTTGCGACTGTTTTTAGATTTGTTTCTGCTTCATTCCACCATTCCAGACCAAAACTAGCCTGCAAATTGCAGAAAGAATTCGTTTTATGATTAAAACTATATTTACATATTTAATTTTGACCCATTCGCAAACGTTTTCGATTATGCAACTGTTTCATTCCATCATTCCCCAGACAAAAGTTGATTTTAATTTAAATATTATATCTTGAGATCTGCGAAATAGTCGTAAGTCGCAAATACAAATCATTTTTAAAGTTTTGGAACTCTTGCCTTAAGTTTAAGCTTAATAGAAAATTGTAGATAATTGTGTTTTAATTAATATGCTCACTTCTGCAGAGTTGCTCTTCGGCTTAACCGAAGTAAATGCTCGTTATTCGTTACTTTTACTCGTTGCTTCTACTCGTTAATTTTACTCGTTTATACTTTTTTGTTGTTTGTTATTCCTCACAATTTCTTGGGCATGTTGTCGTAGCTAATTATCCTTACCTCAATTCACCTAACTTACTCGTTGATCTGCCCTAAAGGTCACACGCTCTCGGCTGTAGAGTTGCTCTCTCCCTCTCTCTCTCTCTCTCTCTCTCTCCCACTCTCTCTCTCTCTCTGTCTGTTTTCGTTTAGCGGTTGGCTTACTCGTTATGTTAACTAACATTGAGCTAACAGCGCTGGCTGCCAGCCTAATTTGTAGCTAACCTCAACTTTCCTCTGGTCGTTTTAATTGTCTTAGCGATTAATCAACTTCCCCCAGCGTAATTAATTGTGTGTCGCAACCTAAACCCGAATCCGAATATCATCTATCATACTCCTCGCTCGCCCTGTTTGTCGATTCGCTCGCTGCGCTTTTGTGTAATTCCCCTAATACTACTAGAAACCAGTACAAAAAATTTACTCGATGCTGTTGGGCTATGTTTGCTACTAACAGCAACAACAATAACAACAACAACAAGCAACAATAAACAAATAATGTTTTACCAAAATGTTTCGTTTTTAACAACAACCACAACAACAACTCGAACAACACACAACACACACACACACATATACGAAACGCCGCCATGTGCTTCCTCTTTAGGTACACACACGCATACATAACACAAGCCAATGAATTCCATCGTCGTCGCCAACAACAACAACAACAACAACAACAGCTGAATCTCTACCAGCAAACGGATATGTTGAACTCAACACTGGGCGATGACAACGCCAGCCTCTTGGGCAGCGATACCCACAGCAGCCGCCGGCTCCTGGCTCCGTATGGAGGCATCTCGAGTGCGCGTTCGCTCAGCAATTTGAACTGTGAGGATGCCTCCTCGGCAGGATATACACGTTACTATGCTGGCTCGGAGTGCAACGTTGATATCAGGTGGTCTCTACAAAAAAAAACAAAAACTCACTCATACATAGCTCATCTAAAACCTGAAAGATCTCTTCTTTTCGGCTTGCCGAATTTTTTATACCCTTGCAGTTGTGATATTCAACAATATGTCTAGAGCTTTAATCGTAAATCATAACGATCGAGTGTATGAAAGAAACAATATGTGATAGGAATCTTGGGAAACCTAGAAACAACATTAGGCAAAAAAGTTCAGTTTTCTAATAAAAGTGCCTTCGTAAATTTATATTTTAAGGGAACAGTCAAAATGGTTGAGCTTGGTTAGAAAATTCATGTAAAATTTAAAAGTAATTATAAAAAAAACCCTTGTATTTCCGATGTATGGTCCGATACTTTCCAAAAAGAGAGCGAGAGAGAGAGCCAAGCAGCAGAACTTGACTCGTCTTGTGTTGCCGATCAAGAATGGAATAGCTTTAAGTTTCACACCTCCTGACAATATTTGAATAGCCACTGCAAGGCCCTAAGAATCACAGTCAAAATTCAAAATTCACTTTCCATATATAGGCTCTTCTATCATAAATATGCTCGCAACATGGTGCCAAGTCTCTTGTAAATCCATATATATTTCAACACACACAAACACACACATTTACATCTATATACCATCAAGTGCTATACTCTTGCCCTTTCCCAACTTGAGCTTCAATGACTATCACTTTTTTTCACTGTTCTTTCGCTGTAAGTTGCGCTGCTTAGACATCAACTATGTAAATATATAAAATATATTTCCAAATTTGTACAGAAGTCAAAATAGATCTGCCCCAACTTTTAAATATGTTTTAAGGAGCTGTAAAGACGTTTTAGGCTGTCAGTTGCTTAACAGAATGAAGCTGTACATAAACGCTTACCAAAATGTTAATGTGACGCTGTTAATGTTAACTTTTATCTGCTGCGGTTGTTTTTATGCTTCAAATAGGCGCATATCGTTGATCTAAAGCCTTTTGACTGTAATTAACAGCAATCTTGTTATTGTACATAACATAACAATGTTAGTAACAGCGGGTCATTAACAGCTTACAGCAGTTTAACATACTATGTAAGCAGAACAGCGTGAATGCATTTTTAGCTTAATTTGAAAGTAAAAGCATATGAATACTATTTATATTAAATGTTTTTGATGCCCTCGCCTATATATTAACAGAATATATATATCTAGATATATCTCCACTTCAAAGCAATCTAGATGAAACTCTAGTAGCACAGTTCAGTACACAGATTATATATTTTAAATTGGAGTAAGCATACAAAAACTACAATCCATTCTGATGCTCCTGATATAGAATTTAGGCCTCATTAACATTTTTCTTCTCTTTTTGTATAAACAACATGTATATCATGTCTCCGATAGGAAGATTTGATGTGGCTTAGAGCAATTATATAAACAGCAGTTGTGTAAAGTTATAGATTGCAGATCTTTAAGCTTTAAGCTGACCACCTCGACTATAATACCCAACTAGAACATGATAAATGTTATACTACATGAGGAACCTTCAGCTTATTGCGTATAAACAGACTTTGCTACTAACTCAAGGCTTGCAAGCGTTTATCTCCTCTTCGGGGCTAAAACTAATTGAGAATTATAAGCGCTGCAAGGCCAGCTAATCTGCGGCAGGCCGAGAACAATCTTTCTCTAGGAAAGTCACTCTCTTAGATACTGGAGTTGGGTTTATATATGCTTATATATAAATATTCTCTAAATCTACGACATTTTATCTTTTACATAAGTGAGGTTAATTCCGTTTATGGTTTGTGCTTATCATCAAAGCTTTGGTCTATGCTATTCGGCAGTGAGATAAAGAATATTAACTGAAAAACATGCGACTCTGCTTCTAACAGCCAAACCCTGAATATACGCTGTAAAATCTTGGCCCGCCTTGTCCATCAATTTATGCATGCATTTGATTTTCAACAATTATCTATTTGATATTATTTTCTTGATCTTGAATTTGATTTTGATTTCGATTTTGCCTGCGTTGAGAATTCGCAACCATTTGCCAGCTCTTGACTAATCTGTTTCTCTTTCTACTCCACACGCACGCACGAATAGAGCTGCTGCTGCTGCTGTTGGTCTTGGTGCTGTGGCAACAACATTTGCCGGCAATGTGGATGCAACTGCGGCAACAACAGCAACAACGGCTGTGGCACGCCCACCAAGACGTCGCACACCGTTGCTCTACAATCGGCCACATTTGGTGGCCTCATACTCGATGAGTCTGCTGCTGCGCGTCCGTCCCAAGTACGCGGGACGCGGTCGTCTGCGCAACGATGTGGAGGTGTCGGCGCCACGCATTAAGGATGCCACCAGCAGCTTGCTGCGCGCCTATCCTGGTCCGTTGCAGGGTCGCAAACTGCACAAGGACAAGATCATTAGCTTCTGCAAGGAACAGATACGTTTGGGTCCGGCACGCGCCTGCACCGTGCTCTATGCCACACAGAAGAAGCCGCTCGGCAGTGTGGACAAGTATCGTGCCTCGCATACGCTCATGTGGCATCTGCTCATCCTGCTGCTGCGACAGAATGGGGTAAGAGAGAGTCGAACTGTCGAATAGCCAAGCCGAAGCATATATTTTAACTCGTTTTCATTTGCCAAACTCAGGTCATTGCCGATACGGATGTGGGTGATCTGTTGCTGGAGAATCAGCGCGAGTATCCCTATGCACCAGACGCTGAGGCGGATGCCGATTCCGCGGATGCACGTGTGCACACTGGCGAGTCCCTGAACGACTCGGATGCGGATGAGGCGGTGACAGCGGGCGGTGCAGCTGCTGCAGAGACTGAACCAGATGCTGATGCAGATGCGCCCATGTCAGAGCAGGCGGCTACCGATCAGTTTCGCAGCTATGTGCTGCGCGGCAATGTCGAGGAGGCACTGCAATGGGCCACCGATCACAATCTGTGGACGCATGCGTTCTTCCTGGCTCTCTACGAGGATCGTTATGCCCTCACAGATGTGGCGCAAAAGTTTCTCAATCGCGCCATCAAAGCGAACGATCCGCTGCAAACGCTCTATCAAATGAAGAGCTGTCATACGCCTGCCTGCGTCAGTCAGCTGCGCGACGAACAGTGGGGCGACTGGCGCTCCCATCTCTCTATATTGGTGACCAACAAGTCACGCCAGCCGGAATACGATCGCAGCTCTGTTGTTGCACTGGGCGATACTCTCTTTCAACGCGGCGACATCTATGCGGCACACTTTTGCTATCTGGTCGCGCAGGAGGAGTTCGGACGCTATGACAGCGCTGCCACGGAGCTGACCACGTTGACTGGCAATGTGCCCAGGTGAACAGATCAGTTTATTAGCATGTTAGCACTTTGCTTATTCAACTGAGTTTCCTTCCAGATTGATCTTGCTGGGCGCCTCACACTACAAGCCATTCAATGAGTTTGCCAGCAATGAGGCCATCATCATGACGGAAATCTATGAATATGCGCGTTCGCTGTTCGATCACAAGTTCAGCATTGTCAACTTCCAGCATTACAAGTTCCTGCTGGCCACACGCATTCTGGACTATGGCCAACACTTCCGCTGCACCAACTATCTGGAGCAGATAGCCAAGCACATTGAGCTCAAGCCGGACAGTTATGATGGTGATTTTATACAGCGCGTATGTTCTGTCCCTATATAAATAGATGTGTGCATGGTTTATATAACAATATATTTTTGTGTATATGTTGACGGATAGGTTTGCTGTCTGGCGGAACGTTTGCGCTATCACGATCCCATACTGATCAATCGCGTCTCCTTTGCCAGTCCGCCAACCGCCACAAATGGCGGCCAAGCGGCAACGCAAAACGCCACCGAGGAAAAGGAGTGGCTGCGTCAGCTGCGCACGCTGGCCGATCAGGTGAGTTTAGCTGTTGCAGCTGTTGCGTTTCAACAATTGCTAATGCATTTACGCGCGGCGGCAGCCCCTGCAGGATCAACAGTTGCAACAGCAACAGGAACAACAGCAACAACAACAGCAGCAGCAGCAACAGCAACAGAGCGACATTGATCAGCAATTTGTGGATTTGAGCAAGCAAATGCGCGAGCTAAACATGCAATATGAGGATACCATGCAGCGCGAGCAGGAGGCGCAGCAGGAGCAGCTGCAGCAGCAACAGCAATTGCAGCAGCAACAGCAATTGCAGCAGCAGCCGACAGAATACTATGAGCCGCCGCCGCCACAGCCACAAATACAGGCAAGTCATGATCAAACGCTGAGCAGCCATATCTATGCGGCGCCAACAGATTACGTTCCCAATGCGGCACAGCAACAGCAACAGCAGCAGCAGCAGCAACAACAACTGTATGATCCCTCGCAGCAACTGCAGCCGGGCACAGTCTATGGGCACATTGAGCCCGCCAGCGAGGCCTACGGCGCCCAACAACCAGCGACTGGCTACGACTATTGGCCCAGCGGTGGACATCAGACGTATGGCGATGAGGTAGGTGGTGCAAGGGCAACAGCAACAGTTGCAACTGTTGCAGCTGCAGTCGCTCAGGTCGCGTTTAGTTAAAACTTGCTCAGAGGCCACTCTTTGGTTTTATATTTGTAACTCTTGTGTCTTTATTGATTTATATTTGTGTTCGACTTTTGCTATAGTTGTAGTTAAGCATATGATTTATTGTAGTATTATTTTTGTGATCTTTTTGTTATCTTTGTTATGGCTAAAGAGAAGTGACAAATTGCTAAACGCGTTGCATGTAAATTAAGGCAATATGTTGCTAACGTCTAATCTAATCACACACAAACACACGCACACACAAACACACCTGGAATGCAGCTGGCGCAAATGGAGAGCAATGAGCTGATTGCTGATGACAGCAACAACATCAGCAGCAACAGCAACAACATCAGCAGCAACAGCAACAACATCAATCTAAACAAGAACAACAATAATGCCATAACAACATCAGCTGAGGCTGAAGCTGCAGCAGAAGCTGAGCAAGCACAGCAGCAGCAACAACAACAACTGCAGCAAGAGGAACAACAATTGCAGCTGCTAGAGCCAAGTGCGCACAGCAGCAACATGGACAACGGCAACAATCGCTTTAAACACAATGCCTTCAAGCTGCCCGCTGCTAGCAATGGCAAGCAAATTCACTACACAGGCCAAGACAAGGACAAAAGCAAACAATTGCCACGAAAATTGCAATTTGCCAACAGCTACAACAGCGACAACAACAGCAACAACAGCAACAACAGCAGCATTGGCAGCAATATAGAGGAATGTACAGCGACAACAACGGCAACCACAACGAAGGCATTTAATTTGAATGATGTAAGTAGCATTATAGCCATAAATAAACATCATAATGCTACCAGCAACAGCGGCAGCAGCTGCAGTAACCACAGCAACAACAGCAGCAGCAGCAGCAACAGCAGCAGCAGCAGCAACAGCAGCAGCAGCAAAAACAATTATGCAAAATTAACAGCTATCGCTAGTCGCGTGAATAGTTTTAAAAAGTGCAACAATTTAATTAATGCTGTACCCAAAACCCTAACCACGCCCACACGCTTTATACCAGCCAAGCCGGTGTTAGCCAAGCCTGCCGCCAGCCTAGCCACAGCAACAACAACAACAACAGCAACAACAATGGCAACGACAGCCGCAGCAGCAGCAGCAGCAGCGACAGCAGCAACAGCAGCAACAGGCGGTGTTAAGCGCGTCAATTTTGATCTGCCCTCGACAATCGATGAGGTGGCAGAGCAGGAAATCGATAACGATAACGATAACGATAGCGATAACAGCTATAGCCTAGCCTTGGCACGACCCGGCCTGAACAAGTACAGCCGCAGCAGCAGCGGAAGCATCTGCAAGCCGCACATTGTATTCAATGGCACCTATCCCATCGATATGCCGCTGGGCGTAACGCCGCCGGCGCCGCTGGCGTCACATCATCGCAGCAGCTACGATGCCGAGGCGAATGCGGATCGCAGCGAAATGCAGCGCTATCGTTATATGATGCATGATTATGTCATCGATGAGGATGCCGAGGGCGAGGAGCTCGCCGAGGAGGATGACTACGATGACGATGACGACGACGACGACGACGACGAAGATGCCTACGACGATGATGCATATGATGAATACGATGATTATGATTATGTGCTGCAACAGAACAATGATTTTCTCAGCAAATTGGGCATCATCAAGCAGCCGCAACCGCAGCAGCAGCAGCAGCGGCAGCAGCAGCAACAGCCGGCGACAGCGCCGCAAAACGTTTGGTCCATGCAGGAGCTAATCGCCAATCCGGGCATACCGATCAATTATAAGAAAATGTGCACTGAGGTCGAGCAGAGCTTGAGCAAATTTGAAGCGTATTTGGATGCCAAAGGTCAAGCAACAACAACAGCAGCAGCAACAACAACAAGCACAACACCGGGCGTGGTGCGAACATATGATATCGATGCACCCACCGCTGGCAATGGCAATGGCAAAGGCAGCAGCGCCGCCGGCTTGGCTCTTAGCACTAAGAAACAGATTTAGATAATGTCATTAACAGTTGTTATGCCTCACTGATTTCGTTGTGAAAGCACGTGCGCAGCGTTGCCAGACTGCAGCAGCCGCAGCAGCCAAATGAGAGGTGTTGTAAAATGTGCAGCGCACGTCGCTTGTTTCGATTAGAGCAGTGCGGAGGCTGCCTCTATCTCTATCTCGCTTTTATGTACCTGCAATATACAATTGTAAACTAACTGTAAAATGGCACTCTGTGATTTCGTATGCATAATAATTGTGTTTAGGCAATATGCATATATTATATAAAAACAAAACAAAACAAAACAAAACAAAACAAAACAAACTAAAGCAATGCAAAACCAAACATACATATATAATATAAGCTTAAGCTATTTATTTAAATGCAATTGAAGTGCGAGCCAGTTGATATTTGATTTAAGATATGTTTTTGACTGCGCCAGTTAAACCAACAGCTATATATTCTTTTTATGTATTTGCCAACACTGACGACTATCTATCTATTCAAATTTGGATATATGTATATGAATATTTATATATATATATGTATATGTATATGTATATGTATATACTTTATGTATGTGTGTTTTATGCACTTTAACTAATTTCTTTGCTTTTCGTTTGCCAATAACCGAAACTAATCAACTGCCATTTCTCCAAATCCCGCCCCCAAACCGACAATTTGACAATTTTCATGTCTGAAAAACCAAAACCACACGCACTTGAATATAAATACAAAAAACAAACCAAAAACTAAAAATGAAAAATCAAACGCAAAAAAACCAAAAAAAAAAAAAACAACGACAAACATGACCAACAGCAGCAACAAATGCGACCCACCATTTCGATGCCAAAATCAAAGAGTTACGACGACGACGATGGAGCCACCGCAACTGGTGGTGCTGCATCCTCAGCTGGCCATGCAACGTCCGGAAGCGCAGCCGCAACGGCGGGCAAGCAGCAACAGCAACAATCCGGCGCCGGCGGTTTGCCCGGGTAAGCTTAATGCGTTCCCGTTCCCAGAACTGGGCCATAATTAATCTCTTCAATCATTTTTTCGTTTGGTCTTTAGCGCGCCGGGCAATCAGAATGCCGGCTGGTTTGGCGGACTGTGGAACAAGTTTTCGCTGAAGCCGAAAAATCAAATGATATTACCGGATGACAAGAATCCGACAATTGTATGGGATAAGGAGCGCAAATGCTGGACCAATACCGAGGGCAATGCCGATGAAACCGAATCGTTTAAGCCGCCGCCAAAGATGAGCGATATGGGCATGGGTATGCCAGCATCGGCGGCGCCACCAGCACTCAATACATTGGGCACCGTGCCCACGCCAGTTGCCACGCCCAATCTGTTGCCACAGCAAAGTGCGCACGAGCTGCCAAACAATGCCAATAATGTCTACGATAATCAGCTGGAGTACGATTATCCCAGCTATGCGGCACCAACAGCTGCGCAACCAGCAACAGCAGCATCGCCAGCGCCTGGTCTTGGCCCAGCAACAGCAGCAACGGGAGCAACGCCGCCCGGCGGCGCACAACCCAAACTTCAATCGAACATGTTCAAAATTAAACGCAATCGCAGTAGGTTTAAACAATGCTAATGCACTGCAGCATATTAATGAACAACATAATCATGTGTTCAATTGCAGCGCTGAAGAACTCCTATGTTGATGTCTTTAATCCATCGGGCGCGCCCATGAGCTCAGCGCCACAGACTGTGCTGGCGCCCATAATGGCGCCAGTGGCCGTGCCGCAGGGCGGCTTCTTTGTGCCTGGCGCAGTGCCCGCACAACAACAACAACAGCAGCAGCAGCCCCAATAGGAGTAGCGAATGTGCGTGCTTGAAACTCGTTTTACATAAATATATATATACATGTATATAGATATAGTAATGTATTTTTTAATTGCAGCATTTCGAGTAATACGTAAACTTAAAATATAACTACGTGGCGCGCACAACGACCGCAACAATCAACAGCAACAGCAACAACACTTAAGCGAGCGGACAACGACAACGACAACTACAACAATCACAATAACAACAACAACAACCAACAACAACAAGTGCTACTTTCTATTAATTATTGCATGCTGCTGCTGCAAAACATGTTGGGCAGCTCCTCTGCGTGTGTTTCGTTGTTGTTATTATTTTTCGTTATATATATATACATATATATATATATATATATATATATTTGTTTTTTTTTTCTATCTCTGTCTGTTCAAACTGTAATTGTAAATGTGCGCGTTTAGCGAAATTGATAAGAAATTTATGTACGATTAGTAAAATATATGTATATGTAAATTTTTTCTTCTCCTATATAAATGATTAGCCCCGCAGCCCCCTCTATAAACCCTCTCCCCCATTGCGCAACAAACCCAATATGATTAAAGCAACAAGTTTTTAGTTCAACTATGTTTTTTTTTTTTTTTTTTTTTTGTCTATGTTGCATCGTTTTTAGTTGTATATTTCATAAAGACAGGCAATAATATTGTTTTTGATTTAAATTAAATACACACACATATATATATATATATATTATTATTATTTAAAAATCTTCGATTAGTCTGTGAAAAGAAGGCGAAAAGCTGAAAGTGCAAAATTGGCAAATTGAAAAATGGTTTAAGCACCAAAAAAAAAATATATATATATATCTATCTATTTATACACATAGTTAATTAAACAAAAGCAAGAATTTGAAAGCAAAACTAGTTTTTCGTTTCACAAGTGTCGATGTACTACTTTCTATATCTAATCTGTGTTGATTTTTGTTGTGCGTACAATCACAAATATTTACATAAATATTCCATTTAATTTGTAGAGCAAATGTTTCAATGTTTTCTTTGTAATGCATTTCAAAAAAACAAAAACAAAAACAAAAGCAAAACAATGTTAATTTTGTTAGAGTTGTGTCAATGTGTTTATTATTATTATTATTATTAATTTTTTTTTACGCGTTAATTTAATTTTTATTTAGCCTAAAAACATAAACAAAACAAAAAAAAAACTGGTGCAGGCAAAAAACAATAAACTCTCATATAAAACATAACAAAATGAAATACAACATGGATATACATATAATTGAGATATATATATATATATATATATATGTATATATATGTATGTATGTATATTGTGTATTAGCGCACTTATGTATTATGTACAAAAGCAACTAATTGGTATATCGAAATTTAATTGTTAACTAGAGTTGAGCTAATTGCGTTAAATCTATGGCAGGCATTAAAACAAAACAAAAAAAAACAAAAAACAATAACCGAATTGTACACAAATAAAGCATACACAGAGATGATATATGATTATGCCTATACAGATACATATATATATGCGGCGTTGATAATGTGCTCTGTAATTGACGTTTCCCCCACCCCACCCCAGCAGCCCTTTCCTACATCCACCCAACTTCAATGAAACAATAACGAGAGCGTGGTATAATTCTTATCATTTAATTAGTCTGAAAAGAAAAAACCGAATTAAATAAATCAATGCTAAACTAATTTAATTGTTGTGTTTGCAAAGATTTAGCGCAAAATAGTTTCCATAAAAACATAGCATCCAATCTCTAAGATGCATAAGTTCTATCTTAAGTCTCTCTCTCTCTCTCTGTCAAGTCAGTCGAATCTAAATACCAAATCGATTCATTTAGCTTTGAGTATCCGCCTGGCAGATACCCTGAATGCAGAAGACAACGTATCCAAAAAGTGAACCTGATTTCGTGTTATTAACTCGAGATTCGAAACATTCGAACAGACGGACGAACGGACTGGGCTATTGTTGATCAGAAATCTATATATGTCATGGATTCGGAAATGTTTCCTTATGCGTGTAGCTAACATTTGCTCAAATCTTCATCTTAATACAAGTTTTTACCCATGGGGAATGCCTACGACAATTCAATTTTCTATTAATCTTTATAATCTGTTCGGTTGCAAAGTTATATTATTTAAAAGAATTCTTGTCACGAGTTCTCTTACAACTTAACTTAGGTTTAACTATCTATAATATTATTTTGAAGTATTTGCTTAAATGTAATTCGCGGTATTTGCTGGAGACTTCAATTAGGTTGCGCCTCTTCGTCGCTGCTGGAACTGGAGCAGGAGTTGTCGTCTGCGGCGAAACTGCCAGCCAGCCCATAAATATCGTGCAGCTCGGGCTGCTGCGTTGACTTTGCCGCAGCCTTGTTGCGCTTGGCGGCGGGTTTCGCTTCCGGATCCTGTGGCTGTTGGCTGCGCTTGTTGTTGGACTTGGCAGCCTCCACTTCCTCATCTGCAAAGGGGATTAGATTATGGAAAATTTGATGGATGTGGTGGACGGTGCCGCTTACCGCTGTCGATGAGGTCATAGCCCGCGGGCGGACGTGCCTCGTAGCTTATGTAAATGGCAGGAAACTCAACAATTGTCTTGCCCGCAAGATTGGCGCGCAGTGTCTGGTGTGCGGCCAGTCGATAGCAGCGCTGACCGCTGCGCTGCACACCCTCGGCCCGCAACCATAGGCTGAGCTGCCCAATGCCCGCTGTCTGATGATGCTGCAACAGTTTGCGCTGCTCGAGCGCCTCCGCCTGCAACAGATCCAGGTACTTGCTCAGCAGATCGGCCAGTGTACGCTCCTCATCGCAGTGCTTGTCCACAAGACGTGTCACTGAGCTGGCTGTGGCGTGGACAAACAACCATTCGATGTGCCAGTAGATGCGTCGCTGCTTCCAATTCAAATACGTCGTGTTCTCCTTGTGCCGACTGAAGTTGGGCAGCAGCAGCTGCAGGCGTGTGCCTCGCTCCTGGGCCGCCTTGCGCAGCCGATGCTGCGGCAGCGGCAGCTGTCGCTGCTGTTGCGTATAGCGCTTGATCTGATCCTGTTTGCGATCCTCCGTATAGCGTGTGCACTCCTCCAGGAAGCAATAGTCGCTCATGAACTCGCGCTCGGTCATGGCGCTGATGGGCATGAACTTGGTGCGATCCCGTTTGCCATCGCAGTTCAGTTCGCGCTTGTGAATCTGCACGCAGGCCACACAGCAGGTCTTCACCTCGCACTTGGGGCAGGCGTAGCGGGCCGCTTGGCTGGCGCATACCTCGCAATTGCCCAGACGCGACGGCCTGTATCAGAAAATCATATTAATAATAAGTTACTAATTACTTTATATTTAATGCACATGCCTGGCAGCTTGACTGTTCGTTTCAGTCATGCTTGTATTATTGTTGTTTCACACACACACACACACGCACGCACGCACGCACGCGTTCACACACACACATATATATATACATACACTTAACAGCAACAGCTGCCTCTAAATTGTCACATTTTTTTTTTTTTTTTTTTTTCATTTTACTTGGCGCTTTTGTTTTGCCATTCACACACGGACGGACGCAAACGTGCGGCAGTCCCAACGCGGTTGCTCTTTCGGCCACATTCTGTGTACAATTTATACATGTATTTTTATTGTGATTTAACCGGTGGCATCCTTTGGTGACGTCGGCGCCACAGTCCCAATTGTGGACGCCATTGGAAGCGTGTTTCAGTTAACAGCTGCATTTCACATATTTCATTGATATTTATGTTAAATTCGCTGTTAATAGCAAAACTGTAAATATAATAGCGATGCGCGTGTGTGCGCCTGTGTGTGCCTGTGTCTGTGTCTGTGTCTGTGTGTCGTGTGTCGTGTACGTGTACGTGTGTGCGTGAGTGTGTTCAATGCGCAGGCTAATCAGCACATGTGTGTTCATTGTGTAAGCATTGCGAGGTTGCCACCTGCCAATTATTTATCGTGCATTTATCGTAATCGCTTGTATCGTATCGTATCGTATCGTATCGATAACCAAAACGCGCGCGCGTTATATAATTACCGTTATCTGTTTGTGTTGCATGTTCAAATTTGATAAGCGCCTTATATAAGCATGGAAATATGTTTGTCATCGTTGCATGCTCGTTTTATGGTAAAAATTGACAATCTTATCACCTGGTGCCCGCACACGCACTTCCTTTATTTATATTATAAATAACTCAATTCAAATTACCTATTAATGTTTATTATTTTATTTTTATTTTTTTTTGTTTTGTTTTCGTTTTCGTATTTTTCCATCTACAGCGAAAGACCCAGCAGAGCTCGGTGTTCGCCACACTTTTGACTCGAATTCGCGATCGTGCGTTGAAAAGCGATCGGTATAAATATTAATATGCGCAAACAGTTGCGATCAGTATACAAAATCACCACACGCTGCCTAGATGTGCGAAAGGCGTACAGTACCAGACGCATGGACGAGATTAAGGTTGCACTTGCCCTGGGTCCGCCCATGCCCAAGACCCTGAAGCCAAAGGGCGCCTGCAATGGCTGGCCAAACGCGACACGCAACGACGAACGGAGACCATCTTTTGCGGATCTGGTATTCTATCCGGACGGACGTCCAGCTATGCCCAACGACCAGGATGCCAACAGTATTGCACGCGAGAATGCAGACTACAATGTAAGTCATCATCATCATGGGATTGGTGTGGCTCGTCACATTTGTGAATTTAGATCAGGAAACCATAAAAATTGTTGTGCCTAATTTCAGGCAGCGATTGAAACGCTGACCAAGCTACAGGGAAACGGAGACAGCATACGAAACTCCATATCAGACAAGAAGCTAAATTCGTTGGTGCACACGCTCAAGTATCTGGAGCGCAGCGGACTCACATTGGAGGATGTAGAGCAGCTATCGGTGATACATGTGGCCGGCACCAAGGGCAAGGTAAGTACCAATTTTTATAAGTATATTTATAACGAGCGAGCTGCCCGCAAATAACTAATAATTAACACCAATTGGAGCAATTTAATCAATGGCACAAACATAAACAATTGACAATACACGACAACAAATAATTGCGTTATTGCGTAGAACGATTCGTGTTGAGCCCAAAACGAGTTTACTTTCAACCAAAATCGTCTTGATCAAAGAATGTTTGGAAGTACCTAAAAAACTGGTTTGGGTTCAAATGAACACAAATATTTAAATAATATATATATATATTTTTTTTATATTTGCTTTTTTCGGCTTATATTGTAGTTTTTTATGGCGCTCTCTTTTTTTCCAAGCAGTTCTTATTGGAAGTTCATATTGACTTAAAGGAAGTTGAGCAAAACTTTTCATTTAAGCTCATTCTGAACTTTTATCATTCGCATAATATTATAAATATTTTGAGCATTTTATTGATTTCTTTGACCCAGTTAATATCAAGTTTATTACGCCTATTAATTACAATATAGATACACTGAAAGAAAATCTACTTTCTATAGCAAATGTAATTCTTGAGGGGTTAATTATTAATGGGCTTACAAAAAGTTCTTTAGTAATCAATAAAAAAAAAATGCTAGAAAATATTATATATATATGTATATAGATATCTTTTTTTTTATATTTCTTGGCGTTTTTGATGCAATTAGAAATTTTAGAATTCTCCGTATAAAGCTTACCCAACATCGATATCTATCGATAACAAATAAAAAATAAAAATAAAAACTATAAATAACTGGAACTTAGATATGGGAGTAGACCTTCCCTTTGAATAAATCCAAGATATCGATAATATTACAAAATCTGGGCCTATGTCATTTCCAATAAAATGTATAAATAGCTCAGGCAAATTGTAGACTGCGATGCGAACTGCTAACCTGCTCGTTTAACATATCTTAAGTTTATCTTTTTATAGATAACAAAAGATATTGCATAAGATCGAAACGTAATATTGAATAATCGGCATAAATAGCTTGAGCTAATAAAGCTTTCAATTGTGAATCGAACCTACAAACTTTCTAGTTTAGTAATACTTCAATTAGCCTGGTACTCGTACCTCTAATCTTCTCCATTTAATAGATATGGACTATGAAATGTCTGATGTTCAAAACTCTAATCTTGCCCGTTTTTATAGATATATTATATATATAATTTTTGACTAATTTGAAACTCTAAGAATATATGAAACATATATCTATCTATATATTATCAGATTCTTTGCCTTGTATATTAAAAGATCAATGCTTATCTCTTGAAAAGCCTATAAAATTAGCTGAAAATGTCCGAAATTCGAGCCTCTAATCTTTTATATATTTTATCAGATACTTTTCTAGATTCTAGTTTCCAATATTTGAAAATCAACAGAGTTGAAAATGTTCGATATGCGTGCCTCGAATTCTTTTGGTTTAATAGATTTGTTTGTTTACATATTTGTTTATTTATATTGGGCGTATTAGTTGTTGCCAGTTTTGATTGTTTATAGTCGATTTCGCTCAGTGTAGACGCTTTCTGTTTACCTTTGACTCTATCGACTGAATTACTGATAAGTGTAAATTGCATGAAATGTGTGGAAATCTGACTCAGCCTTCGTATCGCTGATTGCGTATTTGTATATATACTCATCTATATATATATATATACATATACATATATATATATATATATATGTGTGTGTGTGTGTGTGCATATCGTTTATATAGGGCTCTACGTGCGCGCTGACCGAATCGATATTGCGGCAATATGGCGCACGGACTGGATTCTTCAGTTCGCCGCATCTGGCAACGACCAATGAGCGCATCCGGATCAATGGGGATCCGCTGCCGAAGGACAAGTTCACCAAGTATTTTTGGCTCGTTTACAATCGGATGCTGGTGCAGCGCGAGCATGAGAAAGATATGCCGGCATTCTTTATGTTCCTGACCATTGTTGGCTTCCATGTGTTTATAGCGGAGCGTGTCGATGTGGTCGTGCTCGAGGTGGGCCTCGGCGGCGAGCTGGACTGTACGAACATATTGCGAAATGTGCGCACCGCGGGCATCACATCGCTGGCATTGGAGCATACGGCCCTGTTGGGCAACACGCTGCGCCAGATTGCCTGGCAGAAGGCGGGCATCATAAAGCCGGGCGCCCATGTCTATACGCACGTAACACAGCCGGAATGCTTGCAGGTGATCTATGAGCGCGCCGCCGAACGCCGGGCCCAGGTCTTTCAGGTGCCCAGCACGGACGCGTATCTACAAAATGCGGACGGCTTGAATGAGTATGTGCGCCTGAATGCCTCGCTGGCCATCCAGTTGACGTACGACTGGCTGCGCCAGACGACGGGTCGACTGCATCGGGATTATCCGATCAATGAGCGGCACATCACCAGCGAGGTGCTGCGCGGCCTGAACGCGGCCAATTGGCCCGGACGCTGCCAGCTGGTCGAGTACGAGAATATGCGCGTCCATTTGGATGGGGCGCACACCGTGGAGAGCATACGGGTCTGCTGCGACTGGTACCAGAAGAGCATCAGGCACAGGTATGTACTAAGACGCATCGCTTGCCATCATTTCAATTTCATTTATTTTCGGTTTTTTTTTTTTTTTTTGGCAGTCGCAATCCAAATATTTTGGTATTCAATCGCACGGGGGATTCGGATCCAAAGGCCATACTGCATGTGCTGCGGCAGGCGTGCACCTTTGATATGGTCTGCTTTGTGCCCAATCTGGCGACCGACAAGCCCAACGATCCCAACCAGGCGAACCTCCACTGCAGCCCCGAGGCGCAGCGACAGCGCGCCCAGAGCATTGCCGCCACCTGGCAGCAGCTATGCGATTCCCAGCAGCAACAGCCGAATCATGGACAAATGTATAATACGGTCTGGGATGCGTTCGTTGCGATCCGTACGCGTTATCCCTATCACATTCAGCTGGATGTGCTGATAACCGGCTCCATACATTTGCTTGGCGCTGTCATAACGGTACTTAACGATTTCCATTTGGAGGCGCCGCCAACGAAAAATGGACACACCTGATGCCCAGTTGGCAATGGGCTCGGTCGATCGCCTGATATGTAATTGGAAACTATATTTATAGAACGCACCCCCTCCCCCCTTGTAAAGTAAGACTAGACATTTAATACATGCCCTAATATATATTTAGATATATGTATATATATATATATATATATATATATATATATGTATATGTGTATATTTTGTAAACATTTAACTGATTCTTTTTAAGCACACGTCACTTCCAAAGCTCACACACGCTGGAAATGCGAGATTCTCGTTTTACAAAAAAACAGAGCTTCTATTGTAGAAATGATTGTATATTGGAAATGTGTCCAACTCCAATTGAGCTATGGTTTCTTAATGGTCTGGCAATTGCGCACTGTGGCAACCCTGTTAGTAACTGTAACTCTAAAATCTTACCTCGCTCTATATTTAATAGTAAATTTAATGTTCCAATTGAGCAATGCTGCCTTTATAGTCTGGCAATTGCGCAATGTGGCAACCCTGTTAGTAACTGTAACTTTTAGACCTAACCCCACTTATTTGTTATATTTAATAGCCTATGCAACATTCTGTATATATAGTAAAATGGTAAAAAATCGCTACTAATGACAATTTAAATATTTCACTTGGAGCTTTTCTAGCAGTATTGGATCTGACGGATAAATGCAGATCTATTTCTCTTAACCTTAAAAAGCAATTAATGATCAGTTCTTTGTCTGCTATGCATTCACTGCTGGACTTCAAACTAAGATCAAAGTAAAAGCAAGTTCTCGATACAATAGAAACAATTATGTTCTCAGATATAAATCGTAAATGATGCACTACATTTGTACTATATAGATGGAAAGTGGGTATAAACATTCCCATTCAAACCAGAAATCTCGCAGCTAAAACTGTGAAAATCAAAAAAAAATCGTAGAAGCGACTTTTTAACAAGTTAATATTAAGTTAACAATAGCTGTTCTATTTTCTACAGCCTCCAGGAACTCACCAACAAACGTGGCTAATACAGCCGTCGGCAAAATCTACGTTTAGGCAGTGCAAACCCGACGAAAAACTAAATTTCTAAACACCGACGGCAACGGCTTTGGCAATGCGGACGTTAATTTCACGGCAGGCAACACTGGCTGAATGCAAGGCTGCCACCTGAGCGCAGGCATCTGGCTGCTGGCTGGCTGCGACAGGGATGTTTGGCAAATGATGCACAGGGCTGTTGCTGCCGTCAGAGCCTGTTGGCCAATCAGCGACCGTTGCGGTTCAGTGTGCGAGCGAGCTGGCGCTAGCTGTGTGCACAGCCGTTGTGCTGTATTGTAAAAACAAAATGGCTAACGCGTAGCGGAAGTAGGACTTGTCGCTGTGTGCGAGCGGGATGGCAGCACTGATGACTGATTAAATCACAGCTAAATGAGATGTTAACATGTGCTCGCTGGCTGTCGGGCTGTCGGGCTGGCGGGCGGGCGGGCGGTTGGGCGGCGACGAACAGTCCGGTGGTTGGGCGGCTGCCATTGCCGACTTTTGGGCGCTGCGACTGCCGGCTGTGCACGCTAAACTGTCCCGTTTACAGCAACAAATCGTGTAATTCACTTTTTTCCTAGTCTCTCTGCGCGCGTGTGTGTGTGTGTGTCTGTGTGTGTGTGTGTGTGTGTGTGTGTGTTTCTGTGCGAGCCTTGCGCTACGCTAAAAGGATTAATAAACGTTCGCATCTCAGTTGTTCATTTGACTTTGCGCTTAACGGTTCAGCTGCCAGCGTTACCAGAAATTAAATTTAACTGAATTTCATAGAACTACACAAATATGCAGTATATTCAATAAGTGGGCCCAGCTCCACCTGCCGACGGAAATAACTGAACGCTTTTAACAATATTTTTTGTGCTGGTTCTTTTTTTTTTATTGTTATTGTTGTTTTTTTTTTTTTTCAATGGTCTATGCCAAGTGCTAGGATCTATCCAAACGCAATGTCAACTGCATTGCTATAAATTTATTTTAACTATTGAAAAGTTGTATTTAGTTTGCGTGTGTGTTAAAAGTGCATAAACCATTAAAATGCAAAGCTCCAAATCGTTTCTAATACGCGATCTACTGGGTGACCTAATCAATCGTCGACAAACGGATTCCGGTAAGCAGCGATTAATTAATTATGTTTTTTCGATTTCCTTAACAGTAACTGAGTGCTTTCTATAGAGATCTCTCTTCTCTCTGCACTTCATAGAAGATTCGTTATAATGGATTGATTTAGGCCAACTGTTAATTTGAATTTTTAGGTTAGGTTAACTTAATGCTTCGCTTTTAGGTTATGTTTGTCGATTTTCTATAAATTTCCCATATCTTTCTAGAGTTGAGTAGGCCAAGATCAATGAATAAATACTTTGTAAAATGGAGTACTTAAGTACTTGTACGTTGCTATAGACGATAAAGATGGCTTTCGATTAGCTCTTATTGGACTGTTTTATGAATTTCGAAAGGTTTTCTATACGACATGTTTATTTTATTTTTTTTTATTTGACTCATTTTTAAGTTATGGAATTTGAAGTATTTTGGTACTTCTGGAAAAAGTATGTTCTTAATAGGGTTCGTCTAATTGGAGTTCTGATTGGATTTTAAGCTTCTAATCGTGCTTTAAAGATTGACCCAGTTTCTGTTCAAAATTGAATGTAACTTTTCAGTTCAAGTCCTAATGGCTCAGCGCTTGGATCTTGAATACTCATGAGTCACACACACACACACACACACACACACACACACACACACACATGTTCAGAGCAATTAGCTACTAAATAGTTGTAATTGTTGAGCTAAACTTTATTTAATGTCATGCATAATTAGAGGACAACCCCAAACACACACACACACACAGACACACATAGACACTTAAAAAGTATAAGTCATACAAATGAGAGAGCACCTGCGGCTATTTGATACCCTGTTCTTGAGATACGCAGGGCATGTTGAATTTGCCGAGGCTCTTTCGCAAGTAGTAGAAATGTTAATTAATATAAATCGAATCTGTGTAGATATAAAAAGCTCTTAAGAAATTAACAGAAAAAAATAACTTATTTTCTATATGATAAGAATTTTTGGATAAAGTTTCTCAAATAATTTTCTGAAAATACCAACTCCAATTGCCTCAAGCAGTGTGACCAGCTGCGGCTTTAAAAAAGGCAGTGTTAGAAAATGTCTAAAAATAATCAAATTCGCAGCAGCAGCAAATTTAACCGTTTCAACCGATGCTGGCCAGTTTTAGCTATAAAATGGCTGAAAATGGGCAACTCAGCTCCCAAGCAGCCAGAAAATAGGCATCTATATGACTTTAGCAAAAATGGATAGCATGTGCATAGCATACTTTTTGAGGCTAGCTAGCTGTAGGGTATCTATTAGTCTTGGCTGTCGTGCCTGTGATTTATTGTTAAGCATTTGCATAGCATTGTTTTGCCTTGTTGTTGTTGTTGTTGTTGTTGTTGTTGTGGTTCATACCGGGGTAAACAATCAAAGTTGTTGTACGTGACAAATTGCTCGAGCGCGAGTTACGAGCAAAACAACAAGAACAACGATAAAAACAGCAAAAATTAAATTATTGCCTCAAGCAGTTCTGGCTTCTGACTGAATGCACACACCCCCTTACGCCCCCCATTTCACAGGCACTCCTCATTCGCCCTCTCAATTTGTTGCTAAAAGTTTTGTTGTCGTTTCTAATTGAGACGAGGTGTGAGATTTAAATGCCCGCGGCCAGTTGTCAGCGGTTTCTCACACACACACACACACACACACACACACACACGCACACATCAAAAGTGTCGCTGGGTGGTTGGGTGGGTGGTGCATGTAAAGTGACGGCTAATTGGCCGCTGCGCTGCAAAAGTAATGCGAGACAATTAAGAAATAAAAGTTCAGTTAAAACGAGCTCAATTTGAGGTTATGTCGAGTGCTTTTTGATCAGCTCTTCCTCTTCTCGCTGCATACCTTACGGCGCCTTATCAAAACTTACGAAAACTAATTGAGGTTAGCTTTGAAGGCAATACTAATCAATACTCATCTTGGTATAAGCCTATGAATCCTATCTTATCCGCCTTAAATGTATTTATTATTTTAAAATTTTTAGTCTGCTTTTGGAAGTTAACTTATCCCCTTCTTCTTAATCTTGGTTAATGTCATTCGATTTTTACTAATCGGCATTATATTCTTCATTTGTCCATTTAAAATTTTACTTATTTCCTAAAATCTACAATTTTCTCGCTTCATTTTAAGAAAACAAGTCATCACAGGGTGATTAAATGGAATCAAGCCTAACCTAACCTTACTTTTTTGAGGCTTGCTTTTGCACATAGTATCATAATGGAAGTACTTTCGGTAACAGTTAGTGCCAGAGACTGAGTGGGACCAAGACAACAGGTTGTTTAATTGACATGCAAGATCCTAACCTAACCTCAACAATCTATGTAAAAGCCAAAAATCTCGTTGAGCTAAGTTAAATCATATGAAATTGAGCCCAACTAATGAGCTAGCTTTTTTAATACCATATAAAAAGTTGAGATGTTTACGCATGTCGTGAGTACTCAATTGCCTTAACCTAACCTAACATATTTTGAGGTTAATGTACAAAAACCTTACCTAACCTCAAAATTCAATGTGAAATGCAAAATGTTTGTATATTTTATCCAATTGAGACCAGCTAATGTGCTATTCTTTTTGTTTGTTGCGTATCAAATGAAAAACACACACTGTCGATTGATTTAACCCAACCTAACCTAACATATTTTGAGGTTAGCTTTTTGATGTACAACAAAACTCCACTAACAAACTGTAGAATAACTAAAATAACATATGCAACATATTCAGCTGAAAGCCAGCTATGGGCAACACTTATGGGTTATTTATAAGTTATTTATAAGTTCGTCTTAGCCTGAAATAATCATTGTGGGTCGAAAGTTAACTGTAAATTGCCGGCACATGCGAGGTTTTACTTTTTTTTTTTTGATTTTTATTCATATCTCACAGTTCAAGTGCCTATTAAATGGCAATTGTGCCGCAAATTGATACGACGTGACTTTTCATCGAAAAATAAAAGAACTCACTTGAGACTCCCCACGGGCGAGTATGTCCACACACACACACACACACACACACACACGCACACACACACATAATTGAATCATCATTCACATGTCGCCGTCTCCTTCAACTGCTGCTGCTTCTTCTACTCCTTCATAAATAGAAGTCAAACCCATTTGGGGTTAAAATACAAAAATAATTTCCGCAGGAAAAATATGATATATATATATATATATATATAAAGCAGATTCCATGCTGGGCGCAGACACACGTGAGCGCCTGTGGGCTGCTCCTCTCGTCCTCTCGTCCCTTTAGCTTTCTTTTTCTTTGGCTTGGTGGTTGTTTTTTTTGTTTTTTTGTATTTTTTTTCTCTCTGTTGCTTCTTTTGCCAAATGCCTTAAATTCCAATAGGAAAGCAGGCATTGAGCGCGCACGTGAATTTAATCAGGCAGCCCCGCAGCGCGTCCAGGATATATATATATATATAAATATATATATATATATATATGGATAAGGATATGCGCGTCGGATATAAATAACATGTTGATTGCATAGCGAGCACAAAA